ACAGATGTTTGACTGTACCTTGGGTGGTCACTGTACAGATGTTTGACTGTACCTTGGGTGGTCACTGTACAGGATGTTTGACTGTACCTTGGATGCAGTTGGCCACACATGTGGATGCACTGAGTACAAACAAGTTTTTTTTTTTTTGCATAAACTCATTTTTTCTTGGATATGTATTGACAAAATTTGTTAATATTTTACGTCAGTTACACATATCATGACATTTTATTAATATTTCAGATGGGTCATTTGGTATTCACAAGACTATTCTATCACCATATGTCAGGACATCTACACGGACACTCCGAGTTCAAAAACCGACTGGTGGCTTACTTAGAAGGTGAGTTTGTTTGTTGTTTCTTTACTTCAGTGTGGGTATAGAGAAACTTGTATGTAGGTTTTAGTGAAATTTGTTTTGTTTTTGTCAGTCTTTGAAGTTTTTACCTGCAGTCCACAATTTATTGATCTATCTTGTTCATCAGTGCTCTCTCTTAGCAAATTTGGTGCTCAGCAACTTTTCTTTTTTCTTCAGAAAAGTTAAATAATAATTTTATTAGTATTATCATATGACTTTAAACATGAAGTGGTGTAAATAGTGGCATTTTACCCAGCAACTGTAGTCATTTTTTTTGACCAGCAACTGTTTTATGAAATTTATTGGCAACAGCTGACCGTGATTTGTTGTTACTAAGAGCAAGATGTTTGTAGCATTTCATATAACAAGTATAATGATTCCATGCAAGTTCATCTTGTGCTTACACACTGTGTTTATATTTTCCATGCATTCAGTACTAATACAAGGTAAGATGCATTCTTGAATGAAACAAGTGTTATGATTGGTTGATGTGCTTATCCATTATTAAAATGGGGAATCATGAAACTGTTTTCTAGGAATATATGGGTTCATTTGAGGCTTGGCTGGGATCTCGCCAGCCCAACGGGAGTGCCTTTTGGTCATGAATATTAATGAGCTATATGAATATTAATTAGCAATGAATATTTTTTTTTTTTTTTATTCTTAAATTTTTTATTTTTATTTTTTTTAGCAATGAATATCAATGAGTTTGGTCGCAGTGCAAATATTTTGGGAATTAAGACATTATGTTTCACAATTTAGAAGAGTTTGAATTTAAAAATGAAATATATTCGAAATGCGAATGCTGCAGACTAAAAACAGAAACAAATAAATTATTGTTGCAATATTAATGTCTATTGTAAAAAGTTAAATAAAACGCATTTGAAACGCTTCAGCCAAGAATATGTTCACGATCTTATTTACTCCAAAAACATTCTCCTTCAAAAAATCGAGCCACGTAATTATTTGGCGTATTGTTATAATTTATTAATAGTACCATCGACTTCTAAAACGTATATATTCACAGTAATGAACGAACAAAAAAAAAAACTTCCAAACTTACGA